CTCTCTCTCTCTCTCTCTCTCTCTCTACGGAGCTGACTTGCCTGTTTTTTAAATGGTTTAATCACCATTTGCATGTATGATGCGTAATTTAATTTTTTTTTCAACGAAGACAGACCTAGTAGGAAGATTTGCAACATAACCATCTTCGGTGACTGATTTTTACCATATACTTTTTTATTTAAATTGTGATTATCATTTCGTCATTATTAAATCTCATTACATTAAAGACCTCTTGAGTTTTTATCTTATTTATATAAATTTGTTTGTTTCACTTAAAATACAATATGTCTGACACTTAATGTCATTGAAGTATCCTAAATGAAAGTAAACGTGAGCCTAGAAATAAGTCCAATAAATATGACTCTTGTTCACTCAAGAAACAAACAAGCTTTAAGCAGCAACATTTTTAGACAATGAAGCCTGCTAATGTCAGCCTAGGATTGCATCTTTCCTCCTTTTACAAGATGAGAAAGAAAACTAAAAAAAAAAAAGGGAAATATCGTCAATGGTTTCAAAATCGACATATTCCATCAGTTCTTTTGAAAAAAACGTTTTCGTCTTGATTAATTTTCTAAAATTAGTAGGTTTCGTTTACTATTATTTTCCTTGTAAAAAGTTTAAGCTGCGATATCATCTGTCGCGTCTGTAATTTGATGTACATGCATGTGTATTGAAGGCCTAAGGCGTTTAAGAAGAAAGATTTAAGCAGGCAATGCGCATGCATTTCGAACGGACTTCTTTTTGAAAAAGTGATTAATTAATTGAGCCTTTCGCACATTTTTACTACAAGAGATTCATGCCCGAATTTTAATCCCTTCCCCTAGCTTTAGAACTTTTCAAAATCTGTCCAATATGCCCCCAGTAGCAACCTCATGTTGAATGTAGGAAGTTACTAATTTAAAAGGTTTGGGCTGCCACATGTACGCCAGGATCGAGGTCACTCACACTGACTACCTATGAACTACCACTTACATTTGATCCAGTATTGGATCCGCCATTCTCCAGAATATTTCATCTGGTCACAGGGATCCCATTTTTTTCTGGCATAGGCCTATAGAATCCAATCTGCACGGTATTGACCTACATGTTTAGCGTACCCAAAGATCGACATCCTCATAAAGGCCTAAGTCGTACGATTTTCCTGTGTGATAGGGATGGTATTCCTAGGAATGGAAGCCCGAGGTCCCAAATGATAAGTACATGTACAGGTTAGGATTAGGCGGAGTATTGGGGTTAGTACAGACTTGACATTTAATATGGAATATTTCAGTTTCAACGGTATGCTTAGGTAAAAATGCGTTCTTTTTTCATAAAACTCAGATCTCATATAAGACATCTGACTGGAGAAGTGTGAAGTCAGGTGTGTCGCTACCAATTAACTGACTACCAAGTCTGTTGCACTGCTGCATTGTGTAATATGCAGTGATTTAATTGGGTAGTGCTCCTTTGGCCTGGTCTAAGCTGGGCTTTGGCGAAGCATGGTTCCGTNGTATATTACTTTCTACAATTTCAAAAATTACCAAATATCCTGCTTTACCAAAGCATTATGCCATATGTTCCGATTTTAATACATATTCTGTGTTCCGATTTTAATACATGTTGTTGTTGAGATTCTTCAATGTCACCATACATAGTAAAAAAGTCAAGATCTACTTGAGGGAGCGTCCATATTAAACTGGCAAAGCATATCAAAACTATACATACAGTATATGATAAAATGAAAATACGATACAATAAAATAAATAAATTGGTAAATGAATAATATAATAAAGAAGAAATGAAATTTACATCATGCAATATCCAACTAAAATCAGAAATGACTTTTTAGTTCTTATTTATTTATTTATTGTACATTCTGAGGTTTATCTGTCTTTTTCAAGATGAGAAAAGAATAATAAACCAAACGAAACGTGTGTATTCATGTACTTACTTATGCCGTAGGCAGCATAGTTGCAGGAATAGCAAAGAAACCCTACGATAAAGAAAACTTAAATTAAAAGTCCGTCAAATTAATAATAAACATTAGCAACCTTAAAAATCTCGCTCTCACTTTATAGAAACACAATTTCACAATACCAATATTATTGTGCATTACAGTTTAAGCATATTAAAAAAATATATATATGTATATACATTAAAAGTACAAGTTAAGGTACATTCTCTGTCGTAAATGAGAAAAGTGAATTTAAAGTCTTGTACTACGAAAAAAATATCGAAATTGCAACCAACACAAATTATGATGATTATGATTTTGAGCCTTAAATTCACCCCTTTGTTCTTTAAATTGCGCTAGACTCCAAAATGATCCTACCTTCTTCTCTAGGAAGTAAGTCGACTTCCCGAAAATTAGCAGCAGCAGCAGCGCCCAAAAGGAGAAAGCAGACGATAACGCTTGGCATCACCATTTTGACGGCGTATGATTTGCAACCTTCTCCGCGTGCGTTTTATACATGTGGGCCTACTTGTCGTCGGCAAATTCCAACACGTGCGTTTTGAATAAATTGGAGAGGAGAAAATGGGCTTGTTGTTAGTTTTTTATATTTCCCTGTTCATTTTGTTTGGTGACCCCATGTCAGGGCTGCCAGGGAGTGAAAAGTTGACCTGAATGGTATTCTACGAGAGAATTTTGAGAGGGAAAGGGACAGACAGAAATTTCGAGTCCTAAAATATCGTCTACGCTTCTCGACGAGGCCATTTTTCAAAAATGGAAGCGGAAATAACTGTACTCATTACTGTGTTTTTGTTTTTTCTCCTTCTTTTTTTTTTACCTTACCTCAAGTCAATCTTTTCCAGGACGGACAGATTTATTAATATACATATAGGTTTAGAAGGATTAGCGGTGGTGGCAAGGGGAAATTTATTTTTCGTGTCTCATTTGTACAGCACTTCAGCAGGGTCCTTGAAATATTTGGTAAGCTAAAAGACAAACGTAAGGCGTACACCATTTATAGAAAAAGGTGTCTCAAGTTTTCCGACGTAGGATATTTTGTTTTTACTTTATAAAGGCTAATACAAGGTGGGGTGCATAACTCAACCTTTTAAATAAATGAATAAATAAATCATTTTATAAGATTAAATAAATAAACATTTTGATAATAAATAAATAAATAAATAAATAAATAAATAAATAAATAAATAAATAAATAAAATGGCTGAGTGAGCGTTTGCGTTTGTTTTGTGTTTTTGAGATCTAAGTAACTACACTGTAATCTTTGCGTCACTCTCGAAAAAAGACATAGGAACTACAGACTTGACAATTAATATGGAATATTTCAGTTTCAACTGTATGCTTAGGTAAAAATGCGTTCTTTTTTCATAAAACTCAGATCTCATATAAGACATCTGACTGGAGAAGTGTGAAGTCAGGTGTGTCGCTACCAATTAACTGACTACCAAGTCTGTTGCACTGCTGCATTGTGTAATATGCAGTGATTTAATTGGGTAGTGCTCCTTTGGCCTGGTCTAAGCTGGGCTTTGGCGAAGCATGGTTCCATCAAAAAAGTATCCATATGTCGGCAACTACTGCATAGAAGAATTTGAAATTTTGCATGCAACCGGTTGGTTTTGCAGTGCGTAAAATGAGTTCAACTATGTTTTACAAAGTTGTTAATCTGTGCCAGAATGGCGCGAAAAAGACAGACATTGCAAGACAGATTATTGTGGCAAACGAAATGGTCTGCACAGTTCTATGGAGTTATGCCCAGACTGATGTATCTACACAGAGACCACGCCCAATGTATTGACATTTTACCACCAGGGCACAGGACTCACTGTCCTTCAGGATATGCTGCTGCAACTAAACAAAAGCCACCCAGTCCGTTCAGAATGAGGGGCAAATTGTGACCAAAACGCGTTTTTCAATGCTCTTAGCGAATACCAAACTGGTTTTAGCAGGTTAGAATACCAAACGACCTCTGAGGAAGCCACTGTAAACAGCAAAACAGCGTCGTCAGTTTATCTAATGAATTGAGGACCATGACCGTTTCTGGGTAGAACACTGAAACCGCGTGGCTTTCTTTATTGAGGTCAGATTTCACCTGTACCGCTTAAGTGGTCAAAACAGAGTTTACAGACATCCTGAAGAGGCCTACGACAAGGCGTGTGTCGCTTCTAAAGTGACTAGGGTCATTGGCATCGTCAGTATTTGGAGTGGATACCACATTGGTGCCAAAACACCAATGGTAGTCATTGATGAAAACCTAAACCAGATGAAATAAAGAAATAATCTGGGAACCATTTGACTATCATTTGATAGGGGGCA